CCTACATGCAGTGAGCACTCTACACGGTGCTCAGAGGGCCAGTTTGGGGTCTCCCAGCTCCCTGGGCTGCTACAGGGCAGGCACTCCGGGGCCTACCCTGAGAGGGAGTTTCAGGCTCTTCTGGCCCCAAAGTCCATCGGGATCTGCTTCAACACAAGTGAGTGTCAGCAAGTAGCTGAGAAGCGGGGGCTCCACGAGAAGGACACCCAGAGCTGCAGCCATGTCTCCTCGGTCCTTCCCAGCAATGTGGGGAGAGCCACACTGTGCGTGTGCACGTGTGTGTCGATGTGGTCATGCAGGCAGGCGTGTGTGTGTGCCTACAGGGCTGTGCTGTGTATAGGCATATGTGTGTATATGCATATGCACATGTACACACATGCCCATACACATGTACACACATGTGCATGGCTGCATGTGTACATACATGTGTGTAGGTGTATGTGTGGGTATACACATGTGTATACATGTGTGACTGTACATGTGTGCAGGTGTCTGAGGGTGTACAATGTGTACATAGGGGTTGGTGTACGTGTCCTCGTGTACACGTGTGTAGGTGTACATGTGTGCATGTGTAGGTGTGCGTGTGTGGGTGTACATGTGTGCAGTGTGCACGTGTGTAGGTGTGTGGGGGTATACGTGCGTGTAGGTGTACGTGTGGTGTGCATGCATGTGTACATGTGTGCAGGTGTACATGTGTGGGTTTACATGTGTGTGGGTGTGCGTGTGGATGTACATGTGTTAATACATGAGACCTGTGCATGTGTACATGTGCATGCATGTAAAAATGTAGGCACATGTGTGTGCAAACAGTGCACCTCCGTGTGTGTGCATGCACCCAGGTGTGCAGGTATGGACCTATGCGTGTGGGTATGTGCATGTGTGTGTGCAAGTGTGTGTGTGCAGGTGTGTGTGCATGTCAGTGTGTGCGTGCAGGTGTGTGCAGGTGTGTGCATGCATGTGTGCGTGCGCACATGTGTGTGCATGCAGGTGTGTGCATGTGGGTGTGTGGCTGTGTGTACAGGTGTGTGCATGTGGGTGTGTGGGTGTGTGTGCAGGTGTGTGCATGTGGGTGTGTGGGTGTGTGTGCAGGTGTGTGCATGTGGGCGTGTGTGTGTGTACAGGTGTGTGCTGGTATGTGTGCAGATGTGCACACACACAAGGGCTGCCCACTCCGTTGGTTTCCTCGGCACGGGCCTGGGAGGAGCCCAGGGTTTAACAGTCTGCAGGTTCCTGTTTCTTTTCTGCTGAGTCGTTGAACCAGCCTGTGTGTAACACTAGCAGCACCTGCCCCGCTGTGAAGCGGCCACAGGGCAGGTGATGCTGAAGGTCCCAGAGTCCCCTTGGTGGCCCCGGGCAGCTGTTTTCGTGCAGACAGGAATAGTCACATCTCATGGAGCCACAGGAAGGGAGGGTGCGTGGACCCAGGAAAGCCTCAGCCCGCCCCTGGCCCCACGAGGGTTCGGAGCTGCCCAGTGTCCCGGTGCCCTGCCTTTGCCTAGCAAGTCTTGGTCTCTAGCTTCAGCGCACCATGTGCGCTCCTCTGGCCGGCTGCAGATCTGCTCTGGGACCTTGCCTGGCACCCACGGAGCTGTGTCCCCACCTGTGGGGCCCTCCCCGTGGCGCCCTTCCCCGCGGTCCCGCATCCCCCCCCCCACGCCCACGCATCCCTGCGCCGCGCTCTGGGCTCAGGAGGGCAATGGCGCCCCCTACTGGGTGTGGAGAATACGGGCTGACTCTGGGCCCAGAGCTTTCTCTTTCCTGGGGGACCTGAGCCTCTGGGCAGGTGCGGGACAGTCAGGGGGGCCTGAGGACACCTGGGCAGCCCCTCCTGAACAGACAAGCAAGGGAGGGGGCCTGACCTACCTCAGAGGGCAGGTGGCGTCAGACCCTGGGCGTCTGAGCCGGGCCTTGCCGGTGGGTTTGTGCAAATAGAAAACGTCCCAAGGTCGCTGTCACAGGAGGCGCTCCAAGCTGCCTCCCCCAGGCCAGGTGGAGGACGTGTCCCTCAGGCAGGAGGCGCTCTGGACAGGATGAGCCGGGAGGACGCAGCCCCAAGCTTGACTGGCTCTGTCCTCAGCCAGGAAGCCTGGGACAGCGCGCAGGGAAGGCCTGCCTGTGAGGACACTGGGGTTGCACACTGTCCCCAGGGAGGTGGCCTGCCCATCCCCGTGTGGCCCCCGCACCTTCATGTCCCACACTGTCCCCAGGGAGGTAGCCTGCCCCTCCCGGTGTGGCCCCCGCACCTCCATGTCCCACACTGTCCCCAGGTGTGGGTAACACCCCGCCATGGGCACCGAGGAAGGAGAACTGTGCAGACCCCGGGCACAAGTAGTGCCTGAAAAAGTGTTATTGCTCAGCTGTTTCCTTTATGTAATCCTGCGTATATAGTCATTCATTTATAGGATTAGTGCCTGAAGTGTGACTTACTGCTTGCTCTATCTAGCTTATATAATCATACTTAATACTTACATCTAGCATACTTAGTTCCGTATAATCTTTCTATATGAACATATAGGTATTGTAGTCGGAGCTGCACTGACACGTTTAGTGCTGACTTATAGAATCCTTCCACAGAACCATACAGGAGTCTGCAGTAGGAGGGGTGCCTAGAGCAGTCACCGAACAGAAGCAGTACATGGAAAACAGCCAGACCAGGACGAGAACCAAAGACCCAGGCGGTGGCGTCCCTGCCTGAAAGGGCATACGCTGTATGGCAGGTTTGGAGCAAGAGCCTCTCCTCCTGATAAAGGAGTTGTGGTACCTGCATCCAGTTATCCAGTTCCTGTGGAAAGTCGGCCTCAGGCCTGAGATCCTGGAAGTAACCGAGGGAGAAGAACCCTCTGGTGTGACCAGTCACGGCGGCTGTACACCCTGTCAGTCTTTTCTCACCTCTGTGCTAGCTCAAATCATCCTCCCATAAATATCTTAAGAGAAGAGCACAAGTCTGTCAGCTCCCACTGCAGTGGCTTGCAGTATCCTTCTGTTAGAAACCCTTTGAAGTCTCCAGCCCCCGGATAAGAAGTGTTGTGCAGGACACCTGTTGCACACAGCCCACGTCCTTGCCTGGGTGACCTAATGGGGGTGGACCCCTTTTCTGCACACGACCCTCTGGACCCCTACTGCACACGACCCACCTCTGCCCAGTGACATGTGGGGTGGTCCCCTCACTTGTAACTCATGTGATTATGTAGCCCTATTAAGTGTATAGACGGTGGCCTCACTCACGACCCTGCCCCCTGCTTGCACCTAATAAATACAGATGCCCTTGGGCATTTGGGGCCACTGATCTCCACTCACAGGTTTCGTGGCCCCCCGAGTCCTGATGCTCTTCACCAGTTCTTCAGTGTCCTGTCTCTTTACTTCTTAGATCCTGCACCCCAACAGCATAAGGGACACCCCACGACCCCGGGGGGCCTCCACAGCCCTATACCCAGGGAGGCCGCCTGCCTCCTCCCCGTGTGGGCCCAGCAGCCTCATGTCCCACACTGTTCTCAGGGAGGGAACTTGCCTCCTCCCCATGCAGCCCCACCACCCTCATCCCTGGGGTGCAGTCATAAGCTCCCCCCCTTCAGCCCCACATGCACACAGGCTCTGCAGCTCGAGGCTGATGGCAGAGGTGCTGCAGTGGGCCTCCATTTGCAGCCCTAGACCTGCTGCCTTTTGAAGGTGGTAAGTGATTTGTGGAGGGACAGCAAGCAAGGAACCCAGAGACGGCTTCTGTCTACACAGCCAGGGAAAAGCCTCAGCCACACTGTAAGGCCAGGGAAGGCATGGAAAAGCAAACTCCAGGGTTTTGGTGACCTGATGTCATTTCAGTGACTGGGGCTGGGACTAGAGGGATCACAGTGGGCTTCCTGGAAGAGGTGGGATAGCAGGTGGTGCTCCTAGGATGCACAGTGCTGGGGCCTGGAGTAGGGGAGGCATGGTTGGCTGAGAAGCGAGTCACGCAGATGGTCACTGTGGGGGGTGGGGGGTGGGGGGTGGGGGGTGGGGGGTGCAGCAGGCACTGACTTTCAGGAAGGGAGCAGAGGCCAAGGAAGCTGGTAGCAGTGCTGTGTCTGGCATCTGGAGTGCAATGGGCACACTTGGCAGACCTGGGACAGCCAGGGAGAGAGCTGCTCACCCACATCCCTGCACCCTCACCCACACCCCTGCACCCCCTCACCACACCCCAGCACCCTCTCACCCACACCCCTGCACTCCCTCACCCACACCCCTGCACCCTCTCACCCACACCCTTGCACTCCCTCACCCACACCCCAGCACCCTCTCACCCACACCCCTGCACTCCCTCGCCCACACCCCAGCACCCCCTCACCCACACCCAAGCACCCCCTCACCCACACCCCTGCACCCCCTCACCCACACCCCTGCACCCTCTCACCCACACCCCAGCACCCCCACCACACCCCTGCACCCCCTCACCCACACCCCTGCACCCACCTGCCCAACCCCTCCACCCCCTCGCCCACATCCCTGTACACCCTCACCCACACCCCTGCACCCTCACCCACACCCCTGCACCCCCTCGCCCACACCCCTGCACCCTCTCACCCACACCCCTGCACCCCCTCGCCCACAGCCCTGCACCCCCTCGCCCACACCCCTGCACCCCCTCGCCCACAGCCCTGCACCCTCACCCACACCCCTGCACCCCCTCGCCCACACCCCTGCACCCTCACCCACACCCCTGCACCCCCTCACCCACACCCCTGCACCCCCTCGCCCACACCCCTGCACCCCCTCGCCCACAGCCCTGCACCCCCTCGCCCACACCCCTGCACCCTCACCCACACCCCTGTACCCCCTCGCCCACACCCCTGAACCCACATGCCGACACCCCTCCACCCCCTCGCCCACACCCCTGCACCCACCTGCCCACACCCCTCCACCCCCTCGCTCACACCCCTCCACCCCCCCGCCCACACCCCTGCACCCGCCCACCCACACCCCTCCACCCCCCCACCCACACCCCTGCACCCGCTCTCCTTTGGTCCTAGACGTTTGGTGCTGCGGACTGGGAGGTCTTCCACATTGGGGAGAGGATCTTCCTCGCCGTGGCAAATAGTCACAGCTACGATGTGGAGATGCAAGTCCAGAATGATTCCTACATCATCAACTCTGTCATCTACGAGCTGAATGTGACCGCACAGGCCTTTGTCAAGTTCCAGGACATTCTCACCTGCAGGTGCGTGCCGCAGCACTCCGGGGGAGGGGGCTCATCTCTGGGGCGCCCATCGTGGCGGAATCCCCTTAGTTCTTCCTCACCATCCTTCCCACGCAAGGACTGGCCTGGGAAAGTCAATCCCCCCGAGACACAGGCTTGGTTCCCAGAGCTCTGCACGTTCATCCAGGCAGTGGAGGGGGAGGGGGCTTCATGCCTGTAATGCAGAGAGGCAGCCGAGGCCCCACAGGGGAGGTTCGAGGTGCAGGCTTCGAGCAGCTCTTCTGACCATCGCCCACTGCCTGCTGGTGCCCGCTGCCACGGCAGGGTTACTCCCTTCCCCAGAGGCTGCATCCTCCTCCTCGGCAACACCAGGACACTGAGACAGGCGTGTTGAGACAGACGTGAGACCCAGGGAACCTGGAGGGGTCCGTATGTAGGACAGGGTCGGGCTCCAGATGACATGCTCTGCGGGGCCACAGGAGGTTGTGTGGACACCATATTTAGCACAGCGGGCACTGAGAATCCATAACTGTCCTGACCAGCATGGCGCTTCCTCTGGGGTGGAATTCAGAAGACTGACTAAAACTGCAATGGAATCCATATGACTCAGACCCAGAGCTGGAATCCGGCCCATGCCCATCCGGGATGGAGCAGGCAGCTTTTCAGGTTCCCTTGGGTTTCATTCACTCCTGTTTCACTTAGTAACGATTCACCAGCCCCTCCTGGGCACTGGGCTCTAGTCTCAGCCCGAGACACGAAACTTGGAGGAGAAAGGTCTCCAGGACAAGCTGCTCTGTGGAAAGGGTGGGCGGTGGTCCAGCGAAATCTCGTGGCCCAGGCACCAAGGAGCCAGCCGGCGTGTGTGCCACCTGGCTGTGCGCGCCCTCGAGGAGCCAGCCGGTGTGTGTGCCACCTGGCTGTGCGCGCCACCTGGCTGTGCGCGCCCTCGAGGAGCCAGCCGGCGTGTGCGCCACCTGGCTGTGCGCGCCCTCGAGGAGCCAGCCGGCGTGGGTGCCACCTGGCTGTGCGCGCCCTCGAGGAGCCAGCCGGCGTGTGTGCCACCTGCCTGTGCGCGCCCTCGAGGAGCCAGCCGGCGTGTGTGCCACCTGGCTGTGCGTGCCACCTGGCTGTGCGCGCCCTCGAGGAGCCAGCCGGCGTGTGTGCCACCTGGCTGTGCGCGCCACCTGGCTGTGCGCGCCCTCGAGGAGCCAGCCGGCGCGTGTGCCACCTGGCTGTGCGCGCCCTCGAGGAGCCAGCCGGCGTGTGTGCCACCTGGCTGTGCGCGCCCTCGAGGAGCCAGCCGGCGTGTGTGCCACCTGGCTGTGCGCGCCCTCGAGGAGCCAGCCGGCGTGTGTGCCACCTGGCTGTGCGCGCCACCTGGCTGTGCGCGCCCTCGAGGAGCCAGCCTGCGTGTGTGCCACCTCGCTGTGCGCGCCCTCGAGGAGCCAGCCGGCGTGTGTGCCACCTGGCTGTGCGCGCCCTCGAGGAGCCAGCCGGCGTGTGTGCCACCTGGCTGTGCGCGCCACCTGGCTGTGCGCGCCCTCGAGGAGCCAGCCGGCGTGCGCGCCACCTGGCTGTGCGCGCCCTCGAGGAGCCAGCCGGCGTGCGCGCCTCCTGGCTGTGCGCGCCCTCGAGGAGCCTGCCGGCGTGTGTGCCACCTGGCTGTGCGTGCCCGCCACCTGGCTGTGCGTGCCCTCGAGGAGCCACCTGGCTGTGCGCGTCCTCCGAGGTGCGGAGAAGCCTCTGGAGGGGAGTGCCCCGCCAGGCGTCACCCCAGGACCGGGCGGGCTGCAGGGGGTGCAGGCAGGCCAGGAAGCACTTTCCCTACTTGCCCCATTACCTCTGAACTGCTGGTTTTGCAAAGGTCTACAATGTTACTTACTAATACCTTACTTAGATGATTTTCAAACATTTTTTTAAAGAAGCCTCAGAATAAAGCCAGTAGCGGTGCCTGCCGGGGGCACTGGGGATTCCAGGGTGGCCCCTGCGTGGCCTGGCAGCCGTGGCAGGAAGAACGGGCACTGGGCAGCGGTGGCAGCCTCATGTCCCCAGCACGAACCCACACCCTCCAACGTCAACACCAAGAACAACCGTAGACTAGGCATTTTAGAAGAACGTTTAGAATAAGACACGTTGGAGAATGAACTGTGATTCAAAATCAGTCGTGGGATGAAATGTGCCTCGTGGAGACGGTGCCAGTCTGAAAATGGGTGACGCAGACACCTCGATGTTTGAAGCCATGGAGCCAACAGAACCCAGCTCCACCACGACTGACCACTGGGCAGCGGTGCGGACAGTTAATGAACTAAACTGTGAAGCAGAAAGTACTTACTGATTAAGGTTATGTTTAATAATTATTGTCAAAACAGCACACGGGAGCCAAACCCCCGGCCCTTCTCCCCGGTATGGGGGTTCCCTACACTTCTGGAAGGTTCGATGTGGCCTTGCCAAGTCCAAAACCCTCTCCAGGGCAGCTGAGGGATTCCTCAGAGCTGTGTAACCTCAGCTGTCACTGCCTTCAAACGGTCTGCAGTGTTTGCTTTCTACAATTCAGTGGTTTTGTTAAATCCACAGATACGTGCAGCGGTCGCTGCAGTCAATTCTGGAACATTCTGATCCCCACAGCAGGAGCCCCCTCACCCTTTGCCGGCCCCTTCCCTCGCCCCGGGCAGTCCCGGTCCACTTCCTGTGTCTGTGATTCCCTGATCTGGACACTGCAGGAAATGGACACGCAGAGCCGTGCCCTCTGTGCCTGGCTTTTCCACACAGCACCGCGTCCTCCGGGTCTGTGGCGTGGCTGCGCAGCTCAGACCGTCCCCCTTCTTGTGGCTGAGTCACGCTCCATCCATCCATTTGCTGCTGATGGGCGTGTGCGTTTCTGCCTTTTGGCCAGAGGGCGAGATTCTGAGGAATACCACTGTCCCCAGCAGGTATGGCTAGGGCTGCTTTGGAGGCAGAATCGGGGACTCGCACTAGATGCCTTATTTTGTGGTTAAAGCGAAGCCGGCTTCTGACATGAGCCTCAGTGCAGCCAGACAGGATCTCCCGCCACTGCCACATCCCATGGGGCCGCTTGTCTTCCTCGGTCCTGGGTCTTCTCAGGTCCAACTGAGGAGTCACACTGACCCGGGGCCCGTGGCTGTGCCTCCAGACCAGGGCATGTGATCACGGGCATCCTTGTCCTCCTCCCGGAGAGCTGGCACAGGCTCCATGGGGACCAAATTATAACCTGCCAGCAATGGAGGTGGCTCCAGATGTCACCCTGACTGACCGAAGGAGTGAGGAGCCCAGGGCCCCACAGGCTCTGCCGGTCTCTGGACACCTCCAGGCTCCCTGCCTCTCCTAGGGACCTTTCCAAGCCCCTCCTGCAGACGGCTTCTCAACTGCCTCCAGGGAGGCCCCAAGATGAGGCCCAGCAAGGGAGGGGCCCCTCTGCGGCCTCAAGTGGCCACAGCCCTGAGGCTGCTGCACGCAGAGGGCCGGCCTGTACAAGCCTTCCACTTCCATTTCCTCATCTCAAGATGAGGGGCTGATGCTGACAGCTCAGCAGGTGGGCTCCTGGGGGTAAGGGCTCCAGGAAAGCCACCTGCCAGACCCCTCAAACCGAGCTGACCCCAAGCACAGATGCAGCCTTGGCAAATTCACCTTAGGCTTACGTCTAAGACAGAACTCAGCAAAGTGTCTGCAACAGGAAGCAGCGTCCACCTGCAGGTCAACATCTGTGACCCCGCAGGTCCTGCAGGCCCCTGCTGGACTGACCTCACAGCTGAGGACACGATGCTGAGAGAGGCAGCGGTGGCCGTGGCGCTGTGATTCCATCTCTGCGCAGTGTCCAGAATGGGAAATCGAGCTCCTGCCTGCAGCAGGCGCCGGAAGCCTGGGACTTTTTCTGATTGTTTCAAGCTCTTAAAAGTGGACTTTTCTACCCCGGTGTTCCCAGCAGTGTTATTCACAGTGGCCACATGGAGGAAATTACCCGTGTCCATCTGAGGATGGGTGGGTGAACACAACGCATCCATTCACACAGAGGACGCTACTCAGCCTCAAAAAGGAAGGAAATTCGGTCACACGCGACAACACAGATGAGCCTTGAGGTCCCTGGTGTCTGAGCTACGTCAGACACAAAAGGAAAATACTGTGTGGTTCTATTTCTATGCGGTCCCTAGAGCCCTTAGATTCATAGAGACAGAGAGTGGAGTGGTGGGTGCCGGGCTGGGGAGGGGATGGGGTGATGGTGACTGGAGGGAGAGCTTCAGTTCTGCAGGTTGACGAGTTCCACAGGGGACAACGGTGACAGCCACCCAGCAGTATTAATGTGCCTCATGCCCCTGATCCGTGCACCTAAAGATGGCTGAGGTGGTACATTTTATGTTACATATATTTTACCACAATTTAAAATTGGAGGCCGGACACGGTGGCTCATGCCTGTAATCCCAGCAGTTTGGGAGGCCAAGGCGGACAGATCACTTGAGGTCAGGAGTTTGAGACCAGGGTGGCCAACATGGTGAAACCCCATCTCTACTAAAAATACAAAAATTAGCCAGGTGTGGTGGTGGGTGCCTGTAATCCCAGCTACTCAGGAGGCTGAGGCAGAATTGCTTGAACCCGGAGGTGGAGGTTGCAGTGAGCTGAGATCATGCCACTGCACGCCAGCCTGCGTGACACAGCGAGACTCCATCTCAAACATAAAATCAATAAAATTTGAAATATTTTTAGGTAAACAACTAATTTACATTTTCCCGGAATAGACCATACTCATCTGTGACTTTGAGAAAACCACTCCCGACTCCGGGCCCCGGCTCCTCCTCTGTGAATTGTGGCGGTGGCTTCAGGCCAGGCCCCCAGTTCTCCAGCAAGGTCCGCTGTGTGCTGACACCTGCCCGCTTGTTCCACAGTGCTCTGGACTGGGAGTTTTTCTCGGTGGGAGAAGATTCCTTCCTGGTGGTCGCTAACTCCTTCGATGGGCGCACCTTCTCAGTGAACAGTATTATTTACAGGTAATGAGCTGTGAGCCGCTTCCTCCCAGCACCTGGCTTCCCCTGGGGGCTCGCCACCTCCCACAGGTGCCCCCCAGCTCACAGCGAGTCCCAAGTCAGCTGCCGTTTCCCGAGATTGGCTGGGCCTGGTGGACGGCCCAGGGCTGGCTGCACTGGTGTCGGGGCTGAGCCGGCCCCTGCCCTGGCTGTAGCCACAAGCCACGCGTGCCGGCACTTCTGCCTCTGGAGCCTGGCAGGGATGCAGTGTGTGGACATCCTAGCCCCGGAGTTGTGGATATTTAACGTCTCTCTCGTGGACACTGTGGTCTTCTCACCACGTTTATTTCTAGGAGTTTTCCAAGTATTCTAAGTTTAACAAACAGGGTTGGCTTTTTTTGAATTTTCATTTGCAGGTGCTCATGACGACAATCATCTTTTGCATCTAGCCATCTCACCAAACTATCAATTCTAACAGCTTTTCTTAAAAAGATTCTCCGGAGAGTTAGAAATTACATCTGAGAATAAAGAACATGTCCCCTTGATTTCTAGGGTTCTGATTGAGTCTTTAGTTGCTTCCCCAGCTAACGATTCCAGAACAATCTGGGATGGCACAGAAGCAGCAGCCGTCGCACCGTGCCCTGGTTTAACAAGCGCATCTGAGCATGGTTGTTCGATGGGCTGTGGGCCGTCCGGGCCTGGGCTGGGGTCTCCTCCGGCGTCCGTGAGTGCGTGGTGCCGTTCCGCTGTGCTACTGCCCATGTCTCGATTTAGAGTGACAGATTTCCTCCAGTCTGGGGCCTGATGCCACTTGGTGATGATGTGTAATTATTTAAGAAGCTGCTGACTTCCAACGGCTTATCTTTAAGCTTTCAGTGTCTGTAGGAAATAAGGCTGCTCAGGGGTTTTCTTTTGGGGACTTAACTTTATCCCGTTTAAGATGAAGCCTTACGATGAATACGCAGTGCGGGGCTTTCTAACCGCACCTGTGGGCTGGGATACTATGAATAGCAGGACTCTTCCCTCATTTCTGACAGCTGGGTTCAGCTCAGCTGTAACACCATCCGGACCTGGTACCTTTTTCATAGTACCTCTTCCCCCCGCCACACACACAGGGTCTTGCTCTGTAGCCCAGGCTAGTAGAGTACGATGGGATGCTCTCAGCTCACCACAGTCCCAAACGCCCAGGCACCAGCAATCCCCTCACCTCAGCCTCCCGAGTAGCTGGGACCACAGGCATGCGCCTCCACGCCTGGCTAATTTTTGTGTTTTTAGTAGAGATGGGGTTTCACCCTGTTGGCCAGGCTGGTCTCAACTCCTGACCTCAGGTGATCTGCCCGCTTTGGCCTCCCAAAGTGCTGGGATTACAGGCGTGAGCCACCGCGCCCGGCCACAAATGCTACATTTGAAGGCGAAGGAAAAAGGATGCGTGACTTGATAATCCCATATGACTCGGGGGATCAGCTGGAGAATAAAACCAAGCTGTCCTACTTCACGTTGTACACAAAAACACATTTCATATGGATTGAAAGTTCAAATGTGAAAGAAGAAAAGCTCGCTGCTGCTGTGTAACCTCAGGGTTCCATGAAGAAGCCGAGCCGGGAAGGAAAGGCCTGGCTCTGGCCACCTGTGTAACACTTAACGCGGAGACAGACGTCCCATTCAGAATCAAAAGAGGAACTTTCCCACGCACGTGACAGAAAAGGAACCCTTACCAACCAGGAAAAGATGAGAAAAACAGACAAAAGATAGGAATAGGAGTTTTTAGTAGAAAAGTATGAATAAACAGGAGAAGGGATTTGTTCTCAGAGCAGAACCCTGACAGGTTTCCCTGAATGTGTTTGGAAGCGTTTTAAAGATGGACAGTGGAGGGGGTGGGGGGGTCCCAGCCTGCCCTTTTCCATGAGAACAGGAATCACCGTGGCTTCTCCAGAAAGCAATCTGGAAGAATTTAATAGTTTAATTAAATTTAAACAACGGGTGACCTTTGATGTCAACCCTGCCTTGGGGACTCCACGCCTTGGAAATGGAAGCCACTGGGATGAGTGAGTCCCTTTGAAGGCAAACCCCAGGGGCCAGCAGCTGCCTGGAGAGGGAATGAGGGCCGGGCAGCCCCTGAGTGGGGCCACAAAGCAGCAGGCAGAGCGGGGCTCCTGTGTCTGAGGACAGAGGGGCTCCCACCTGCCTGGTGGCCTGTGTGTGTTAGAGGGGCCGCAAGGAAGGTCACCTTGCACCTCATGGTCAAGGCCGGCCCTGGCAACTCCACGTTTGGGAGCCCCTGGGGTAGGACCTGGGGTGGGACCTGGGGTGGAGGGGAGCTAGCGCTGGGACCTGTGAGATCTGGGATCTTTCCTCTTCTGGGCCTCAGCCTCCTGCTTTGCAAGATGAGAAGGCCCTCGTGGCCCACAACTGCTGTGTCCATGCAGTGCCAGTTGCGGGGAACGGGAGAGGTCTGGATGTGACCCGGAGCCGCTGGGTCCCTGGTGGCGCGGGTGGGAGCAGGGGAGAGGAGCCGTCCCACAGAGCCCAGGCTGACCCCGCTGCCGTCTGTCCCGCAGGTGGCAGGGCTACGAGGGCTTCGTGGCAGTGCACAGCCTCCCCACCGTGGGCTGCAGGGACTGGGAGGCCTTCAACACCACGGCCGGCGCCTACCTCATCTACTCCAGCGCCAAGGAGCCCCTCTCCAGGGTCCTGCGGCTGAGGACACGCTGAGGCCGCTGCCATCCAGGAGCACTGGAGTGGCCGGATGGGGCGGGACCCCAGCACCTCCCCACTAATGGCCCTGGACGTCTGTTGGGTGGAACCTCGGGCAGCCGGGGCCTGGGCTGCAGGCAGGGTGCAGGTGAGGCCGTCTGCAGCCTTGGTTCGGGCAGGAACAGGCATCCACCTCTGGGTCATTCTGAGCTGCAGCCCCGGGGATGGCTTGGCCACACCCCACAGCTCTGGGTCCTGCAGGCGCTCACCCCTCTGAGTGTCAGGCAGGGATTTCACCACCAATGAAACGTTCTATAAAGATTTACCTCAAACAGCAGGCCCTCAGGCTTGTGACCCCGAGCTGGCCTCGCTCACTGTGTGTACCCAACCGCCCGAGCAGACATGGTGCTGCCCGCGATGCTGCCCACGACGCCACCACCTATTTATTGTGTTTTATCTGAACGAAACTGTATTTCTATTGCTCTTTACGAAACCACTCTCAGCAGTGGGCGGGTACAGCCCTTTGCCACGGACGCAGAGGGCCACCTCCCCTGTACAGGGAGTGGCCTCCCTCCCAGCCTCAGTTTACCCATAAATGCACTGGGGCCAGGTCAGAAATAACAAGCCTGGGTGTGGCCTGGGTGGCACCCCTTCCCAAGGCCCCACCCACAGGGACCTCAGTTCACTGTGGAATTGCTTCTGGACCCAGGATTTCTTTCCCTCTGCAGCCGCATTCTAATCACAGACCCTCCAGCTGACGGGGATGAGGACTGCACTCCGTCTGCCTGTGTTCAGGCTGTCCTAGCCCCCTGATGGCGTGTCCACCCGTCACAGGCAGCAAGGACAGGAGGTGGTGGTGGGCGCGAGGACCCGGGGCTCCTCCCTCTAAATGCGTGCGGGTGCCAGAGAAAGCTTTCCCCTAGACGACAGGAGGCTCAGACACCAGGCTCCGGGGCCACACAGCGCAGACCAGACCTGCTGGGGTCTTCCCGGAACAGTGCTCCTGCTTCTGCGACACACATCGGATCAGCAACGATCCCGAGAGTTTACAATTCTCTTTTTCCGGACAAAACGTCCTGCTTTCCACATCGCAGCCTTCCGTTCGCCTCTGGTTCATAATGAGATGGGAGCCTCCCCTTGTATAGCAAATAATGCGCTCAGCGTCTGCTTCACCGGCTCTGGAGCCTACGTGTTTTTCCTGGCTCAGGTCTTACTCCAGCCGTTGCTGTGGCCACGGGAGAGCCAGTCCCCTCCAAGGGCAGTCGCTGAGAGCCTCCTTCTCCTCTGTCCGTCCCCGAGGCCTTCCCAAGCCTGCTGGGCATGGCGGGGCAGGCCCTGCTTTCCTTAACCGTCACTCCGAGGGTCCCACTCACACACAACTGGCCTCATTGGGGGGCAGGCCCTGCTTTCCTTATCCGTCACTCCGAGGGTCCCACTCACACACAACTGGCCTCATTGGGGGGCAGGCCCTGCTTTCCTCACCCGTCACTCCGAGGGTCCCACTCACACACAACTGGCCTCATTGGGGGGCAGGCCCTGCTTTCCTTATCCGTCACTCCGAGGGTCCCACTCACACACAACTGGCCTCATTGGGGGGCAGGCCCTGCTTTCCTCACCCGTCACTCCGAGGGTCCCACTCACAACTGGCCTCATTGGGGGGCAGGCCCTGCTTTCCTCACCCGTCACTCCGAGGGTCCCACTCACACACAACTGGCCTCATTGGGGGGCAGGCCCTGCTTTCCTCACCCGTCACTCCGAGGGTCCCACTCACACACAACTGGCCTCATTGGGGGGCAGGCCCTGCTTTCCTCACCCGTCACTCCGAGGGTCCCACTCACACACAACTGGCCTCATTGGGGGGCAGGCCCTGCTTTCCTTACCCGTCACTCCGAGGGTCCCACTCACACACAACTGGCCTCATTGGGGGGCAGGCCCTGCTTTCCTTACCCGTCACTCCGAGGGTCCCACTCACACACAACTGGCCTCATTGGGGGGCAGGCCCTGCTTTCCTTATCCGTCACTCCGAGGGTCCCACTCACACACAATTGGCCTCATTGGGTCAGCACTTGTGAAAGGAAGATAAGAACTCCAGACCCCAGTTCACTTTACCAGGAAGAAAAAGTTAAGCTGAAAGCTGAGTCTGCAAGAAGCTGCCTTTCCCTCTGCCCCGAAGCAGACAGCCACGCCATCTCCACCAGCAGCTGCACTGTGTGCACCTCGTCTCACGGAAAGCGCCGGTTTACTGAGCATGACGTGAACACTCAGCGACTGCTCCCACCTGCTACTCTTCCCCTGCAGCTGGGGAGTCAGTCATGTGACCACACCCTCCCTCCCCCCTCCATCTGGCCTTTCCCCCTCACCGAAGCCCTCAACCTCATCTCAGAGCAAGGCACAGACCTGTCCCTGGGTGCGTCCTTAGCCGTGGCAAAATAAACTTCTCCACCGACTGAGGCCTTTCTCGGGTACTTCCCTGGTTTGCAGACGCACTCACGTGCTTTTCCAGCTGGGCCGTGTTCTCTCATTTGTCCACACTGGCCTCGGGTACTTCCCTGGTTTGCAGACACACGTGCCATGTGCTTTTCCAGCTGGGCCGTGTTCTCTCATTTGTCCACACTGGCCTCGGGTACTTCCCTGGTTTGCAGACGCACGTGCCATGTGCTTTTCCAGCTGGGCCGTGTTCTCTCATTTGTCCACACTGGCCTCGGGTACTTCCCTGGTTTGCAGACGCACTCACGTGCTTTTCCAGCTGGGCCGTGTTCTCTCATTTGTCTACACTGGTCTCGGGTACTTCCCTGGTTTGCAGACTCACTCACGTGCTTTTCCAGCTGGGCCGTGTTCTCTCATTTGTCTACACTGGTCTCGGGTACTTCCCTGGTTTGCAGACGCACGTGCCATGTGCTTTTCCAGCTGGGCTGTGTTCTCTCATTTGTCTACACTGGCCTCGGGTACTTCCCTGGTTTGCAGACGCACGTGCCATGTGCTTTTCCAGCTGGGCTGTGTTCTCTCATTTGTCTACACTGGCCTCGGGTACTTCCCTGGTTTGCAGACGCACGTGCTATGTGCTTTTCCAGCTGGGCCTTGTTCTCTCATTTGTCCACACTGGCAGAGTGACTGTTTCAGTTTACGTGACGCTGATGGTGCCACAACCGTTCCAACTTCCATCTCAGCCACACCCCTTCATTCCCCAAACTGTTCTAGATTTGGCCTTATTTTGGAAATCAGAGCCTGGCTTGAGTAGCTGAAAAATCTAAGACCTTCTAAGTAAAGTTACCAAACACTCAGTATTTGGGTCGCAAACCTGAAAGCATCCGAGCAGGTCTCAGCCGACTTCGAGGGTTGTGGTGCCAAGGCTGAGCATCTGCCAGGGTAAAAGCAGCTCCAGTCACAGTGGGACCTGGGGCCCGGCCTTTTCCCGAGAGCGTTTTGAGCTGCTGGGTATTTAAAAGAGGAAGAGAGGAGAGGGCAGGAGGGGGAGGGGAAAGAGAAAAAGGGTGGGTAGGCAGTGAGGTGAGGGGTCAGGTTCCTGCCAGGCTCTGATGAGCTCCCGCTGAGTGCACGAGGGGGCAATGGTGGGGAGCGAGCCAGGTTTCCAGGAAGCATCTAAATGGCCACACAGAAGTTGACCCTCTTCCTTCCCGCCGCTTGGTGACTGGCTTCGATGGGACTTTCAGCATCACAGTGAACAGGGGCCAGCAGAAGAGCGGGGCCATTTCCTGCGTTAGTCAGGATGCGCCTCCTCTGGCCCACATCTTCCTGGGGCTGACGCGCAGGGACTTTTCCAGCAGGTCTGGCCTGAGGGTGCTGGAGCTTCATTTTTGTGCTGCTGCAGGCAGTTTTCAGGCTCAGATTAAAGTCCCTTTAGCTGGGTATTGATCCTCCCAACAGCATTTTGTGAACCCCTCTCCTGTCTGTCAGGGCAGGAACAACAAGCTTGGGAGCTCCAATGCTGAGACACAAAACCTGGCTCCAGCCAAGCTTCCTACAGCCTCTCTGCGGCACTTTTCAGCACCTGTATCTTCCCACTCGTCCATAGTTGCTTTGCCGACGGGGCGTCTGCCACCAAGGAGAGGGGAGACCCGCAAGAGGGGCTGCACGGCACTTGGGCTGAAGATGTTGGGAAGGATGTGGAAGCCGGGGGCTGACCAGAGCTTTCCGCGTCATCTGCCAGTCTCCCCTGTCTCCCCATCCCTGTGGTGCCGCTTCATTGGACGCTAAAGCCGGGCTCCTGATCTACGGTTCACCTAAAATTCCATCCCAGGCCGGGTGCCCTGGCTCACACCTGTAATCCCAGCACTTTGGGAGGCCGAAGCAGAGGATCACCTGAGATCAGGAGTTCACGACCAGCCTGGCCAACATGATGAAACCCCGTCTCTACTAAAAATACAAAAATTAGTCAGGCACATGCTTGTAATCCCAGCTACTTGGGAGGCTGAGGCAGGAGCGTTGCTTGAACCTGGGACGTTGAGACTGCAGTGAGTCGAGGTCAAGCCACTGCACTCTAGCCTGGGCGACAGAGTGAGACCCTGTCTCAAAAAAAATAAAAAATAAAATCCATCCCAGCATCCTCAGCTGGAATAACTGCCAGATGCCACTGGCTGCCCCAACGGAATTAAAAGAAGCTGCCACAGCCCTCCTGACCTCATTGGACAGAACCGCGTCCCCAGCAGACGCGAGCTCCTCCATTCTCTGAGCTGGCCCCACTCCTGTCTTGGAGTGGGAAGTCCTCTCCTGCAGGGTCTGTTCTTCAGACAGGGAGGGGCGGAGCCCTTCTGTATTCCCATCAGTGTCGCCCTAAAAGGAAGAGGCTGAGGCACAAAGTCTGACCTAGAGAGCCAACTCTAGCCAGGGTGAACACAGTGGCCTGCAAGACTCACACCCAAGTGCGCCTGGCCGCGAGCTTTCTTTGGCCATATTTGGCTGTCATTATAGGCAGGTTTTCAAAGGCAAAAGAGGGACATGGAGCGGGCCCGACACAAAGCTCTTGTTGGGAATCCTCCCTGGCTCACAGAATAACACTGATGACTGTGGCGTGG